GGTGTGGCCTGACCCTGATGAATTGGGGGTGTCCCTGGGGTGTAGCCTGACTCAGTTGAATTGGGGATGTGGGGTCCCTGGGGTGTGGCCTGACCTTGATGAATTGGGGGTGTCCCTGGGGTGTAGTCTGACTCTGATGAATTGGGGGTGTCCCTGGGGTGTGGTCTGACTCTGATGAATTGGGGATGTCCCTGGGGTGTGGCCTGACCCTGATGAATTGGGGATGTCCCTGGAGTGTGGTCTGACTCCGATGAATTGGGGGTGTGGGGTACCTGGGGTGTGGCCTGACTCTGATGAATTGAGGGCGTGGGGTACCTGGGGTGTGGTCTGACTCTGATGAATTGAGGGCGTGGGGTACCTGGGGTGTGGCCTGACTCTGATGAATTGAGGGTGTCCCTGGGGTGTGGTCTGACTCTGATGAATTGGGGGTGTCCCTGGAGTGTGGTCTGACTCTGATGAATTGGGGGCGTGGGGTCCCTGGGGTGTGGCCTGACTCTGATGAAATGGGGGTGCCCCTGGAGTGTGGTCTGACTCCGATGAATTGGGGGTGTGGGGTCCCTGGGATGTGGCCTGACCCTGATGAATTGCAGGGCATCTTGGGGTCTGGCTTTGCCCTGAAGGTTCAGGAGCAGCATCGGCAGAAGCACTTTGAGAAGAGGCGGAACCCCGCAGCAGGCCTGATCCAGGTGAGTCAGGCCATCTCCCTGGGGACCAGTGCAGCCCTATCCTGGTCCACCTTGCCCAGGAGTGGGGACCGCTCTGGCCTTGGCCTCTCCCTGTGGACAGGGCCCCAGCCCTTACCTGCTGCAGGAATCTGGAAGGAGTGAGGACGTGAAGTTTGTGTGTTGAGAAATGGGTCGGACCCCTGAGGTTGCACAGGGGTGGCTCCCGTGAGGACGCTGGGGTGGCCCTTGCCCGGTGTGGGCGCTGGGGCCTGGCCATCATGTCTCTGCAGCACCCTGGGAGGCCAGCTGCACGGCCAAGGCTCCCAGAGCCCACACCTGCAGTGGGTCGGCACCTGACCCCGTCTGACCCCAGTGCTGGCTGTGGCTCCCACGGTGCCTGCCCAGACCTCACCCGGCCCTGTCCCACCATTTGGGGGTGGGTAGGGTGCAGCGACCGCTCTGGCATCCACAGGTAATTCCTGAACCACCCTGACAACATGGACAGACAGTAGCACTCCCTTGGGATCAGCCATTCTTGCAGCTCCTCCCCAAAGTCTGTCCTGTCCACTGGACCCGCAGAGTTGACCGGGAACCCTGCCAGCTGGACGTGGCATCTTAAACAGGAGAGCTTGAGATGGAGACACTCCCAGGTTACTCCAGTGGGCCCTAAGTGCAGTCACAGTCATGCGCGTCCTTAGAAGAAGGAGATTGGACGCAGCGGAGGAGAAAGCAGTATGGAGGCGGAGACTGGAGTGATGTGGCCACAAGCCACGGAGTGTTGGCCACAGCAGGGTGTGTGCCTCTCATGGTCTTGGCTCTGGGTCCAGCCTGCCTTCATATGTGTGTGTGTTTATCTCCTACTATAAAAACTACAAGCAGTGATTTATTTTAATGCAAAGGAGTATAAAGAAGAACAAAAATGCCCCCAAATCTCACTCTAATATTGACAGTTTAAAAAGTGACCATGTGCATTTCGTGAAAAGGTTAAAATATGGCCGGAAAAAGAAGTGCCTCAGCACCCTGGCTCCTGTCCCCCGCTGCCCTCGAAGGTCGCTCGTAGCAGCAGCTGGGTGCCATTTCCAGAGCACAGTGGGGCCTCACTTGGGCACAGCTCAGAGGCCCTGCAGACAAGCTCCAGACCACTGCATCAGGGACACGGCAACACAGCAAGTCACGCGAATTTCGTGGTTTCCCAGTGCATGTGGAAATTAGGTTTACAGGCCGAGCACAGTGGCTCATGCCTGTAATCCCAGCATTTTGGGAGACCGAGGCAGGCAGATCGCTTGAGGTCAGGAGTTTGAGACCAGTCTGGCCAACATGAGGAAACCCTGTCTCTACTGAAAATACAAAAAATTAGTCGGGTTTGGTGGTGGGTGCCTGTAATCCCAGGGACTCAGGAAGCTGAAGCAGGAGAATCGGTTGAACCCGGGAGGCAGAGGTTGCCGTGAGCCAAGATCGTGCCGTGAGCCAAGGTCGTGCCGTGAGCCAAGATCGTGCCGTGAGCCAAGATCGTGCCACTGCACTCCAGCCTGGGCAACAGAGCGAGACTCCGTCTCAAAAAAAAAAAAAAAAAAAAGTGTTGTTTACACCATAGTGTAGCCTACTAAGTGTGCAGTAGCATTATGTCTGAAAAAGTGCACATTCCTCCATTTACAAATAATTGCTAAAAAATACTAACAGTCATCTGAGCCTTCAGCGAGTTGTGGTCGGTGCTGGTGGAGGGTCCCGCCTTGCTGCTGAAGGCCGAGGTGGATGTGGCGATTTCTTATGGTAAGGCGAGAACGGGGCTTGTCACATGGATTCACCCCTCTTTTCGTGAAGGATTCCTCTGCAGCGCGACGCTGCTGGGCGGCAGTTTCAGCACTGCAGTCCATCCTCAGACGCTGCCACTGCCTTGTCAACTAAGTCAGTCCCTCCTGTCATTTCAACACTGTTCTCAGCATCTTCGCCTCGAGGAGATTCTGTCAACCCCCCGAAAAAAAATAGATCAGAGAAAAAATATCTCCAGACATGTCGAATGTATTTGGGAATTAGAAGAAAAGATTATAACCAGAGAGGACCCGGCACGGCTGGAGGGTGGGGGGCAGGGAGCTCTCATCCAGAGGCGAGCCAGCGTGGTGAGATGCCCGTGTGCCCAGAGGGGGAGGGGCAGGGAGCTCTCATCCAGAGGCGAGCCAGCGTGGTGAGATGCCCGTGTGCCCAGAGGGGGAGGGGCAGGGAGCTCTCATCCAGAGGCGAGCCAGCGTGGTGAGATGCCCGTGTGCCCAGAGGGGGAGGGGCAGGGAGCTCTCATCCAGAGGCGAGCCAGCGTGGTGAGATGCCCGTGTGCCCAGAGGGGGAGGGGCAGGGAGCTCTCATGAGCCTAGAAGTTCACATGAGCTGCCTGGAAACGGAGTTCGTCAGTTCCGGAGGCTGAAAACCAGATTGGCGTCTGTTCATGGGTGGAGATTTTGGCGCTGCTGGGCCGGTGTTCTTCCTGGAGCATCTCATCCGAATCGCTGTGGTCCTGACAAGGAACTCCTCGTGGGGTCACTTTAGAACATTGTTGGCATCGTCCTCGTGTCAGCCTCGCGGGCGTGGGCCCTCCCGCCTCATGCTGTCTGGCCCCAGTTGCTTTGGGGCTGGTAGAAGTGGTCTCCCGCTGCTCTCCGCAGCGTTCACGGTCCGTACCAGGAAACCACTTACTGGGCTCACCTGTAAAAGCCGCTCCTCATCTGTTAGAGTTTTATCCTGAGACGGCAGCACTTCAGCCCCATCTTCAGGCTCCACGTCTGGTTCCAGTTCTGCCGTTTCCACATCTGCAGTGCCTTCCTCCTCTGAAGTCTTGAACCCTCAGTCTTCCATGAGCGTCGAAATCAACTTCTCCCAGACTCTTGTTACTGAGATATTTTCACCTCCTCCCACCAATCAACTGTTGTGAATGGCATTTAAATGGTGAATCCTTTCCTGAAGGTTTTCAATTTACTTTGCCCAGACCCATCAGAGGAATCGTACTTTATGATAGAGGAATCACTGTCTGTGGCAGGGGAATCGCTGTCTGTGTAGAGGAATCACTGTTTGTGGCAGCCACAGCCTGGTCACACGTGTCTCTGAAATAAGACTTGGAGGTTAAAGGCACCCCTGATGGATGGTTGCAGAATGGGTGCTGTCTGAGCAGGCATGAATACGCATCCATCTCGCTGTCTGTCTCCATCAGAGCTCTGGGGTGACAGGGTGCATTGTCAAGGAGCAGTAACATTTTGGAAGGAATGTTTTTTTCTAAGCTGTGGGCTTAAAGTATCTAGTAAAGCATGCCGGAAGCAGACGAGCTGTCCTGCAGCCTTGGCTGCATTTGCAGAGCAGATTCCACATCGTCCCCAGGGCCCCAGGGTGTTCAGACCGGACAGTGAGCGCTGCCTGCAGTTCCGTCACCAGCCGTCACACACCTGCAGAGGGTCTTCTTGCTGGTGGCAAACGCTGTTACAGGGGCCGTGGGAGGCTGTGTGGGCAGATCCCTTGAGACTAGAAGTCGAAGGCTAGCTATGGCCTTGGCAACAAAGACCCCATTTTTTTTTTTTTTTTTTTTTTTTTTGTTTTGGTTGAGATAGAGTTTCTCTCTGTTGCCCAGGCTGGAGTGCAATGGCGAGGTCTTGGCTCACTGCAACCTCTGCCTGCTGGGTTCTACCAGTTCTCCTGCCTCAGCCTCTCAGGTAGCTGGGATTAGAGGCACCCACGACCACGCCCAGCCAATTTTTCAATGAGCTGTGGTCTCAGCTACTCAGGAGGCTGATGTGGGAGGATCGTGTGAGCCCAAGAGTTTGGAGGCTGCAGTGATCTCTGATTGGGCCACTGCACTCCAGCCTGGGCAACAGAGCAAGACCCAAAACAGAGCAAAAAATAAATTTAAAAACAGAGATAAACTTAAAAAGTAGACAGACTCAACGAAACCAAAAAGGTTGAATCTTTGAAAAAAATCAAAATTGGGCAGGGCACAGTGGCTCACTCTTGTACTTACTTTGGGAAGTTGAAGCGGATCACCTAAGGTCAGGTTCAAGACCAGCCTGGCCAACATGGGGAATTCCCGTCTCTACTAACGATACGAAAATTAGTTGGGTGTGGTGGTGGGCACTTGTAATCCTAGCCGCTCAGGAGGCTGAGGCAGGAGAATCGCTTGAAACTGGGAGGCAGAGGTTGCAGTGAGC